CGTTCCCGCAAGATGCGCTCATTGGGCCGGGTATTCCGCGGCATGCGCGTCAAATAAATACGCTAACTCACGGTGAGGTAGTCTGTGCTGTGACGATCTCGAATCCGACGAAATACGTCTACACTGGCGGCAAAGGTTGCGTTAAGGTGTGGGACATCAGCCAGGGTGGTAGTGCTAGTGCGAAACCCGTCTCCCAGCTTGATTGCCTGCAACGGGACAACTATATCAGGTCAGTGATAGTAACACGTGTCTTCATTCGCAATTCGTGACACATTAACTCTCGAACGCTACATGCGGTCGCTGTAATTAATTTCTGACTCTGAATTCTGGATGACATTTAGTCGTGTCCGCCGGCTGTATATCACGCCGAAGCGCGGCATCGATTTATCACATGCATTTTCCGTATGCATTTACCACCCTTCCTAATTCCCTCCTCGCGTATCGTAGAACATGAGCGACCATAGTAATTATTTAAAAGCATGCATAAGTGGCGGTATTTAACGGAATTAATGTAAAGCGACGCTCGATTGTTGTTATTAGATCGGTCAAGCTGTTACCCGACGGCAGAACTCTCATTGTGGGAGGCGAGGCGAGCAATCTCAGCATCTGGGACTTGGCTAGTCCGACACCGAGAATCAAAGCAGAACTGACCTCCTCGGCACCGGCGTGTTATGCTCTAGCCATCTCGCCGGATTCGAAGGTCTGCTTCAGCTGTTGTAGCGATGGCAATATTGCCGTCTGGGATTTGCAGAATCAAACATTGGTTAGACAATTCCAAGGTCACACGGATGGCGCCTCTTGCATCGACATCTCCGCCGACGGCTCGAAACTATGGACAGGTGGTCTCGATAACACTGTGCGTTCCTGGGACCTTAGGGAGGGTCGACAATTGCAACAGCACGATTTCACGTCACAGATATTCTCTTTGGGATATTGCCCGACCGGGGAATGGTTAGCCGTTGGTATGGAGAATTCGAATGTCGAAGTACTTCATGCCACGAAACCTGACAAATACCAGTTGCATCTGCACGAATCCTGTGTGCTATCGTTACGCTTCGCTTCGTGCGGCAAGTGGTTCGTCTCTACTGGCAAGGATAATTTACTTAATGCCTGGCGCACGCCATATGGTGCCTCGATTTTCCAGGTTAGTCGTTATCGCATATACAAATTGCTGATGTTTTTTTCGCATTTCGATTCGTTTATTATCACATTTCTCCGAGTATAATCATTTCTTTCTTTCTTTCTTTCTTTTCTTTTTTTTTTTTTTTTTTTTTTTTTTTCTAGTCGAAAGAATCGTCTTCGGTGCTCAGCTGCGACATTTCTACGGACGACAAGTACATCGTGACCGGATCTGGCGACAAGAAAGCCACCGTCTACGAAGTGATGTATTGAGTCACATATTGACTTGACGATACACTTCGATACAACATCGATTAAAGTTTCACGTGACATTAAGTGTGACTTATAACGGAGGAATTGAAAAAAGAAAATTAATTTTTTTTACTGCAAATGTGACTAATAATAGATGTGAATTTAAGGAACTACGAAATGCGAATTATAAAATTTAACAAGAATTGACAAGACTTAGTCGATGTACTACGGTCGCTACATTCGACGGAAACCGAATTAAATTTCACATTTCTATAATCCAAAAAACTAAATTATCGGGGTATAGTAAATAAAATAAATTGTGGGGATATATAAAGATTATGGCACTTAGCTGTATAAAATTGTATAGAGCCTATAATCGTAAGTAGGATGAAGCGAATGGAATGTGAGAGAAAGAGAGAGAAAGAGATAAACACATGTAAGTATCCTGCGTCTGTATTTAACGTGGGAAGCGATAATGAAATCGCTTGTGTAATATGTTAACTGATGTAATATAGAATCTTTATAATTATAATTAAGTCCTTTTGCATGTGATCGTGATGGAAACTGAGTGAAAAATTAAACGCATTTCGTCGGATGAGATCGTTCTCTTGCAATAATGCAACGACGAAACGAACGCCACGGCGAAATACCAGAATACGTACGGAATGCCGATCTAGTGTTGTAGACTTGTCAAAGTAGGGATGTGTGTTGTGTCGCAGAATTATACATAATATATATTGAGCACATATGTAGACAAGAATGTTTACGTCATGTAGCGGAGAAACTGTAGGGCTATGAAAAACCGATAAGTATCGATTACGCTAACAGTGTTGGACGTACGTATGCTGCGTTCGTTCGGTATCGAAGCCAGCGATGTGATCTTTGACATTTCTACCACCGACAAGAGGAATAATTTGTACTTATTACACTTTCAGTTTTAAATACAATTCTTTTGTAATTATATGGCACTGTTACATCTGCCGTTAAGACTTTATTGTAATTGAGATTTTATAAAATATGTCGAGGGAGTAGGACGGTGATAAAACAGAGGAAAAGGAAAGGAGCGAAAGATACTTTTCAATCTTTTGCAGTAATTATGAAACTGGCTTTCATACGCCTATTACGAGCGGTATCGAATACAAATAGGAAACTCTACAAGTTGCGCGCCGAACGCACCGAATAACTTGATACAATGTACATTGTTTGCGAGTCTTGACTGCCATAATAGGCATATACATACTACGCACACGCATATACGCGTAAACAAACACGAGCGAGCGGACCACGTTCGTGGGCGGATTTTGCAGAATATTCGATAAAGTATTTTTGTGACTATTCATCGTGAGACCCTAGGCTTTAACCATCGAGCAAAACCGGTCGAGCGTGATCGACCACGTGCGCGTCTGCATCGATGACTGCAGAGACGGGACGATATTATGTAATGAGGCGAAACACTTGAATTCTTACACCGCTCCTTCGGTGCAGGTTACAAAGCCGGAGGTGCGTGCATCTGGACTTTTAGGGTACTAGCTAGCGCATTATTATTCGGAGGCCGTATGGTGAAAGCGGGTGATGCGTAATGGAGATTTATATTTTGTTACAGGAAGGCACATACATACACACACACACACGTTGACATCTGCTGTGACCGTTCAAAATTCAACGCCACGATATTATAACTGCCGCGATAAGAACTTTGCAAACTGTAACCGTGGTTAACATTCACCGGTTGAGCTGCGACATGCGAACTGGATTGAACGGATTCTCGGATTTTGGACAATCACAGCCCCCGTTCGTATAGACCAATAGAAACAACGATACCTCAAGAAGACTCAATAGTTAATTATCTCTAACTCATTGACTTGTACAGAATCGATATTCTTTTACAGTTGAATAACACACGCACCGTGAAAAAGAAAGCATTACGCGAGACAAAAAAAAAGATCGCATAGCCGCGACAATGATTGTACCCTCTGCCTCTTCCCCATTTCCTCCCCTTTCCTACCCCCATCCAGAACCGTTAATACGTTGAATTACGTCTCCGTGCTCGCATTTTGCACTCCGCGAAAGCGTACCGAAAGCCACCGTAAGAAAGAACATACGTTCGTAATAAACGGAAGACAGGCAGCGTTAATCTTTTTCCAAGCACCGTTCAAGTTGTTCCTATAGCTACGCGAAAATTGTTTCTTTCGGCAATTAAATCCTCTATATCTATATACAAGAGTTCACGTTATTGCTTTAGCCGATCTGTTCTCCCGATCCTCCTAATATTTTTTATTCAAATTCCAGAGAAGAATTTATTCAGTAAAGATATTGGAAACACTTTAATCGCGAAACCCGCGATTCTGAGATTTTCATTGTATATTCAATGTTAAAGATAGTAATCTTCTGATCATTTCCACGCAATCTTTTATTAGGCAAATTTCCATTAATATCTTTAAATATTGAAGATAAATATCAAAGCAAAAGTATATTAGAATCTAAAGATATTCATCAATTGAAAACCTTTATAGAAATTTAATACTGGAAAATAGTGATTAATTTATTTATTAAAAGCACTAACAATAAAATAAGTAGAAATAAAATATAATAGTAGATTATATTAATTAGATAATATTAATTAATGGAGGTTTCTAAGACTAAATCTAATACAAGTGAGATGCCTACGTGACTTTTACGGATGTTAATACGTAAAATAAATATTCCCTAATCGAAAATAAATAAAAATGACGACATTAATGTTATAATTTTGCACTGAATAATATAACTGTTACATAACACCATGTTATATTTATATTTATATTGTTACATATGAAATTGTAACATTGATTTAGAATATTACGTTTAATTGTCGAACTGAATTGTAATGCGATAAATATAGAAGTTGCCAATTGAGATCCACTTACTAAAGTTAAAGTAAACATTGCGTTTATTTTAACTTTCTTTTATAAGTATACATCCCAATTGATTGTATTTATCACGTTATGATTATTTAATTTACGCAACAACATTCGTGGAGGCTTACATAGAAATTTTGTTTATATCAAAATAAATAATTTCTAACATTAAATTGAATTTTTTAAAGGAAAAATTTTGTGCAAAAAAAAAGATTATAATAAAATAATAATTCCCCAAGATGATACGATCTTGGGGAAACAACTTAGATTTGAGAACATTTATAAAATAGAATTAGTTTTTGAAAACAAATTTATTTTAATATTTAAACTTATTAATTCACCTATACTGATAAAAACTTTAGTAAAAAAATCGATATTGAGGGCATTAAGGAAGATGCAATATATTATGTCTAGAATCAGTTCATATAATTAAATAATTAAAAAGAACTGTTTGAAAAAAACATCAATCAATTTTACTTAATAATTTTATTAAAGTTATTAGTATTCAAAATTTTATCTCGCTCTTCATTGATTCATAGAGAAATTTCGATTTTACTAGACATGTTCAATGAACGCGCAAAACAATGCGAAACGGAATGCACGTGCGTCGTGTTATGCACGTGCATTTTGTGTACTAGAAGGTGCTACACTCTGTGGGCTAATCGTTGAACTGCGTACTGCCGACGCATGCTGCGACGCTTAAATATGGCCGACAGTGAAGCTACAGGACAATTACGAAGTATCTGTGACCGTGACATTTTCGAAAGATAACTGTGTGTGCGGTATAAAGACAGAAACTTGCAACGATGAACATGTCCGTGGAGAAGAAGAAGTACGCCTCGGCGTTGCCAATCAATTGGCCCGCGAGAGAAGAACCGAGGAAGAGTCAGAATCAATTGGCATCCACGGGGAAGGTTGATTATTATTACAAGTAGGTTGAATGAATTCTCGAGAGAAAGACTTGTTCGATTTTACGGGGGAACGAGACGTGTGGATTCTCGAAGAGATCTTTGAGATCGAAAGTAATTTTCACAGACAGAAACGCAGTTTCTCAAATGCTGAAGGTGATAACCTCGATGACAGGCCATCTTCTCTATGTACTAACGATGCGGCTCTTTTTTAGCCGCGGTGTCAGGAACGACGCGTCGTTGGTGCCACCAATCAGACAAACAGCGTCAATTTTTAAGCAACCGGTAACGATTTACAAGACGCAGGAAGGGAAAGTGAAGGATATCAAACACGGCACTCAGGAAAAGCCAAAGCAGGTTAGTTTGCGTAACGATCACAGCTGATTGTATGTATACGCTAATTGGACTGTCAAACAGTTTGATGTGTCAATGAGTTGAATCCTTTTTACTACACTGTATCTCATCTATTCACATATATGATATCTAGTAGTTGCACACTTTTAATCTATAAATATGTTCACGGATTATTGTCTCATATTATTTGTCTTAGAGAACTTTCTAATCCCTGTACCATGCCTGCGAGATATACTTTGTCTGCTTACACCCATTCACTTGTACTGCTCTTCGTTAGCTATCCTTGTAAATTCACAACTGTCAAATCGTTGCTTTAGGAAGGAGCCGATAAAACTGATGGCAAGTATGGCTCCCAAGATAAGCCTAAGCAGGTAACTCTGAACATGCAATCATGAAATCGTCTCAATAATTTTTTGCTTTTTCTGTTATATTTTCAATAGCAAATGTGATTAACTACTAAATTTTAATAACATTGAAAGCCAATCATTTTAATATTTAAATACAATTGGAGAAAAGTATTTTATAGTTTCGCCATCCTGATTTAAATAGGATTTCTAAGTTAATTGGTGGTGGTTGGTGGTGGTACTTAATAGAAATGTTTATACACTTAAGTTTAAAGCAATGATTCAATTTAATACAATTTTTATGTAATGAAACATTTTGTAGCTTGTTTATTATTTTTCTTAGTAGAATAATATATGATGAGTAAAATGATCAATAGATGTTAATTAAAATTTTAATCTTCCAGCTTTTTTGGGAAAAACGTTTGGAAGGATTACGGGCATGTGATCCCGACGGTTATGAATTTGATGGAATGGATCTGCCAAAGAACTTGAAACCAGTAGGACCATATATCACAGAAGAAACATTGCTCCAAAGCGTGGCCACTGCATTACACGTATCTACTCAGCCAGTCACGGGACAAACGGGATCAAAGACGGCTTTAGAGAAGAATCCCGGAGTATTTCTTAATCCTGATCAACCACTTGTACAGGTAGAATCAATAGCTGAATAATTAGCGTCTTAATTGGCATAAATCATGCATGATTAAATAATATAAAAATAATTAATTAATGACATGGATTTTAATATTTAATTTATTTATATTATTAGTTAATTAATTATAACTGTTCTATTTAAGGCTGTCTCGATAGCGGATGAAGATATAAGGAGACAAGAAGACAGAGTGGCTGTCGCGAGAAAAAAGTTACAAGATGCCCTACGTGGTCTTCAAACCTAAATTACATAGAGACTTTGCATATTATCACTTGCTCATCTTTTAGTTTTAAGTTCGTTATAAATTATACCATACCACTTTTTGTAATAAATGTTTTTTATAAAAAAAAAAGAGAAATATGAAAAATGGAAATCTAATTAAGACAGAAAAATCTAAAGGAATATTTAAAAGGATCCTAAAATCGTCTGTTTCAACGGAATGCAATTGCATTTTAAGACTATTTTTCTAATTTACCTTTACCTCATATACATAAATTTAAAAATCCTTTTCCACAATTAAATAATAATGCAATCCAAATCGGTTAACTATATATAAAACCGAAAATTAAAACAATTTAAAAAGTCTAGATCTACTTTACCTGTTCTTATTATTAATCCAATATGGCATCCAGAGTTATCAACTTGTGCCAATATTTACTTTGTAAAAATTCTACAGTATATTTGTACAAAATAGGAACGGTTTGAACTGTCGATTACACAAACAATGTTGAATTCTTAGAATTAAGCTTAGACATCTAATATGAAACATTAATATCTTAAAAAATTTGTATGTGTGCGTGCGATATTGATGTAGTAGTGAAGTGTTACGTATGCGTGTAAATTGGTAAAATAGTGATTTTGTCGGAATTCAGTCTTTAGAATCGACCTAAAATATTATAATGATTGATCATCTTAAAATATTTAAATGAAGTATTTCGAAACGGAATAAAATCAATAATGTAAGGGAATCGATAGCTGAATGCTCGTTTAAAGAAAATTTTGATGAGTTAGTTACCATTATAATTCAAGAATAATTCGATTTGTGACGCTTTAAATAGCTTGGATTGCCATCTGTCTAACATTTCCTGTGACATGCAGGAAATCGATCAAGTTAATGATGTACTTACAAAAATAATAAATTTCTCAGATTCGGCAAACAAAAATGCCACATTTGGCTCAAAAATTATCATATAGTATATTAAATTATCATATAGATTATTGGAAATTAATATTTAGGAAAACTGATAGGAAATTGATCACTATATTTCAATTACAATAATTCAATAGAAATTTTTTTTGCGTGACGCGATGTGGTTAATGTATAATCGATACTATTCATACATTGGACTCGAGAATCGAGTCAGTAAAATGTCCATATTAATTATGCAAATTGCTGCGCTTAGTTTGAAGAACTGAGAAAGGCCGCGCGGGAATTGACCGATCTTGAAATATCATCTTGAAATTCGAGCAGGAAATAGCCTGCATACTTCAATAAAGTCTTTCATCAAGATGTCAATAGCGTAGGATAGAAAATTGGAAAAGAATTGTTCAAAAATTTAATTATCCTATATAAGATTTATCGTTAAATACGGAAATGTATTTAAGGGAAATACGCTTTGTTATTTTAAGCTTTATTATGCTTCAGTATCTGTTAAAATTTTCTGAGATATTCACAATAGAACCTTTGTAATGTGAAATTTAGATCCTTTTTTTGGATTTTGTTATTTTAGTCATGTATGAAGAATGAAAATATTCATTTCATTTTATTTTTTGCTTTGTCATTCTGGGAAGATTTATGAAGAAGCGAAAAAGGAAAGAATTAACCAATTCAAGATATTCTTAACATATTATTATTAGCATTTTTGTACATTGTGAACGCAAGACAGGTAAAGATAGGTAAAGACTCTACGACATCCTGTAGTACAAAAATTATTAGCGAAGAATTCTTTTAAAATCTTAAACGAAAAATTTAATCAATAGTTTAGCCGAAGAAATTACTTTCTTAAAGAAGGAATTGTTATATATGTAGAATGCCTCTCAAAAAATTTTCCGAAGATTTTGTTCCATACGAATACTATTTTCTAATCGGGTAGCATTAAGTACCATTACTAATACTAGCGTTACTAATACTAGCGTTCGAGATGTGCATTGTGCCCAATGCAGTTATGTATCGAATGCTGTCCAAGGCCCTCTGGGAATCGGTACGTGCCCAGGGCCTCGCACAAAAGAATGCTCAGGCAGGTATACAGGCAAGCGTCGGTTTTCAGGTAAGCATAAGCGGGGTACCAGGTGGTAACCTCTTTTTTTTTCTCCTTGCTTGCCTCCGCCCCTCTGCCTACCCGGCACCTCTCCACCTTCGACTAACAGCTGTTTCCCTCTGCGGCAAGGGTCGCTCTCCCTTATTGTCAACCAAACGAACAGCCGTTTTCGCCCCACCGTGCACGCGGGCATATGTCCCAGTTTAAATCATTATAACTCGTCGAATACATACAAAATGACTCGACCGACGATCCATCCGGTCTAATCGGCGGTATCGTGAGTACCGACGACGATCGCATGCATTCGTCGACAACGGGAATTCAACGTCGAGCCGAATATCGCCTGCACCTCGAGCCTGTAGCCGAGTCTGCATCCCGAGCGATCAATAGCGCTATCGCGTGTTCTTTGCAATAATTTATGTACACAGAGACGACATCCGGTCCGAGAAAACGCCGAGAGAAGGCAATGGGGGTGCGATATATTTCTCAAAGGTGTTTAATAATCGTCAAGCGAAATCAGAAATCGTAATTTCTTAAATATAATTGCGGATTAGTTTGTACTTTTTTTTGTAGTTTTGGCAAGTTTACACTGAAGAAAGAAAAATTTTTGGTATTTGTTACTCTAATTATGATTATACTGCATAATATTGGCAATAAGAACGATAAGTATAGTTTTATCAATTAATATATAGCTGATAATCGAAAATGATTATAATTATAGTTTTTACTATTATAATTATTACTATTATTATAGCAATAATTATCATAATTATAATGTGTAATATAGTTACAAATTTTTTCTCTCACAGTGTGAGTTTCCAGGCAACATTATTACTGATTCCTCGCTTTTTTGATTGTGCATCTTCATTTTGCGTCTTTTTCTATTGTTATTAAATTTTTCTTTACATATTCCACAACAATAAAGTCAGTTGTTATTTATTATTCAGAACACTAATAAAGAAATATGAGCAAAACGCTGTACATTGTGGACTAAATTTCAAAAAGAGATCTTTATGTTTTAAATTATTAAAATTTAATGATTTAAGACATTAAAATCTCTTTTTGAAATATTTGCGCATGATTCTTCTTACCCGTATTTTTTAATTATTTTTAATAATAGGGAATCTTAATCATATTTTGTTTAAATTATTATTGAGTATCAAGCAATTCGGATAATTATTAGTTGACTGAATTTGTATTTGTTATCACTTGTTAGTCACTCCTGTAAAAAATTTCATCAATTCTATATAAATACATATAACAACTTCGCTAGGACGCCGCTCGGGATATATAAAATGCAATTTAATTATATACATATAATACACGTATGCATAATGAACGTCGCATGTGAATATATAAATGCGAATATCGTACGACGAATGTGGAATTGAAATCGCCACGGGACACATCCCGAAATAATCTCACCGCCCACGTCCCGCATACGTGTGCATAATTCAAGCAAATTTTGCATTACGATTGACCGTCGTGCTTTAATGTTAAACACGATGTCGGTGATATTACGCTCAGTTATGCAGCATTTAATTCCGCATCTCATACGCGCGATTATCTCTCTCGGAGCACTCGATAGATTTTTTTAATGCGCTTAATGCAACCGTCGATCTATGCAGCGCAGCGGTGGCGGCCGGCGGCGTTGCATCGCGTGTAAAGACCTTATCTGGAGCACCATCGAAGATTACATCCTCCGCTGTCTTGGTCGTAATATAACCGACGTATAAATAGACGCTTCTCTACGGCGCGTTATCGATCTTTCGCGCAAGCAGTATATTCGACCATCGGAAGTTGACCGACTTGACTATACTATTTGTATTGGGGTTACTGGCCGCAAAGTATTTCGGATTTATCTCCGTGAGGACAGAGAGACGGCGCAATTTTAATGTCTCGAATGACAATCGCATGGCGAAAGTCGACGACGATTCGACAAGTAGGAAAACGACGAACGTTTCGTCGAGGACCTCGAAAAGGAGGCGTTGGTCCATTCAGCGTTTCGCGCGGAAGAACAGCTGGGGGACCTTCGACTCCCAACAAACTATACGTAATCGACATCGACAGACTTTCTCTCTCACAGACTTTACGGAGAGGAGAGGAAAACAAGCGTGCCTATAACCGATCGTGCTCTTTTCATTTTCACCGATGCGGAGGAGAACACACCTCTATCTCGCGTTTCCGTTTTTAACATATCCACTGTTCCAGCACAAAGAGCATAATAATTACGTAAACTATAAAAGAAACCTATTGTGCAGGATGAGAAAAGAAAATATATTTTTAGCTTCTCTCGGATCTAAACTTTCGTCGATCGCTCGAATGTGTGACGAGTCTTTCTCGTCATGACGCGATATAATGATGCAAATTATATGCATCTCTTCAAAACGATCCAACTGACGCGTTTGTGAATTACATAATATATGTATATGTTTTTTTTAAAACTGTGCTTGCGCATGGAACAACGGAAATAACTATTCCCGTTTACGTATATTAAGCGAACGATTTTAATGTCTTTTGATAATTGTCAGTTGAAATTTTCGAGTTTTCGTTTGCATCTGCACGAGAAGACATGCGGGCATAGCTGATAGATTTCTCTCAGCCTGACTACGGTTTCCATTTGCCCATTGCATTGTCCGTTTTCACGGGAAAAAAGAGCTGTCCGTCGGTATAAAATGTATGGCACAACCTAAAAAACGAACTTCCCTTGGGCACTTCTCTGCCGGAGAAGTTTCTCTTTTGTACAATTGTGTGCTTAGTCATTTCGCAGACTTTACAGATTGTGAAGTTTCAAGAATGATTTTTCGATAACTACGATTTAACAAGCTTACGATAAGATAAATCGATTCAGATTGGTTTTCCTATCTATGCGACAACGCGAATGAGTGCCATAGGATGGAATATACAATAATAAAGATGAATCAGGAAAAGGCAGGTGTACAAGAAATGCGATGAACAAGAAATATTATATATATATATATA